ACAACAGAAGCACCACAGATGTACCCTGATCTAGTGATAGATAGATATCATTTAAGACCCTCAGTAGAGCCGACTCTGTGCTACGGCCAGACCTGAACCCTGATTGGAAAACCTCAAACAGATCAGAGTCAGCTAAATGTGAGACCAGCTGCTGATAGACGACTTCCTCAAGCAGTTTCGATGTAAAAGGCAGGGTAGTGAGAGGCCTGTAATTTTCTATCACAGAGACATCAGCACCAGGTTTCTTCAGGGTCGGCCGAGCAACTGCTGCTTTCAAAGCAGCTGGGACCACACCTGTGCTGAGGCTCCCATTGATAATCTGACCAAGTGAAGGGCCAAGGCACGGAAAGGCAGCCTTCCAGAGACGAGGCGGCAGAACATCAAGTGGAGAGCCAGATGGCTTCTGCCTCGCAACAAGCTTACTCCGCTCAGAGTATGAAACAGTATTGAGGGAGCTCAGGGTGGGTGGTGATGGAGGAACTGGAACAGGGTCAATAGAGTTACCAGAAATAGTTGCTCTAATGCCTGACACTTTATCAACAAAGAAAATCTTCAGAGTTTCCAGCAGCTGTAGGAGACATGGAGCTGGGCTCCTGATAAACCAGAACAGAGTTCAGTGTTTTGTAGAGAATCTTGGGATTCTTGGAGTTTGTTTCATTGATGTCTGGAAAATAGGCCGTTCTGGCAGCCCTCACAGCATCCTGATAAGCAACCAGAGATGCTCTGAACAACTCACGCGAGACCTGTAGGCCATCCTTTTTCCACTTTCTCTCAGAGGATCTACACGCCCGCCTACAAGCCCGTGTGACATCAGAGAGTCAAGGCTCCCTCCTAGGCCGAGACTTGCAAAGTTTGAGCGGGGCAACCACGTCCAGGACCTGATTACAAAGTAAATCAAAGTGTTGTGAATAGTGTTCAGTGTTAGATGGAGCTGGGTTAAAGGTCTCTAACCTTACAGACATACAGTCCAAAAACATTGCAACAGTTTCTGCATCCAGGGCTCTGAACCTAGAAGCTGGAGCTTCACACACAGGGACAGGACATGGCAACGTAACATCACAGAGTATAGAGCTCCGGACCCCACGTGACTCTCAGTTAGTAGACGCCATATTGGCAGGAAAAAAAGGTAAACAAACATGGATCGTAAACATGAACGGGATCGGCTTGGATTTTACTTCGTCGGAGTTTACTTCACACTGTAAAACCGAAGAAATCGTTTTATACAGTCAGAAATTAAATAGACTAAACATCTCCGACCCTTACCGTGCCCCTGGGATACTTTTTAAAAACGCCAGAAGCTGTCGGAGCGGACTTCTTACTGGACCTGGCCGGGGAACCCCTTGGGATTCCCCCGGAGGAGCTGGCCCAAGTGGCTGGGGAGAGGGAAGTCCGGGCCTCTCGACGCTACTGCCCCCGTAACCCAACTCCGGATAAGCGGATGAAAATGGATGGACAAATAACAGATTTACATGTAAGTAGTTTAAATAGAGTGCTGTGCTGTTTGAATGTATAAACTGAACGCTAAGAGAAATCACTAGTCTGATTTTTTTCCGTGAATAAAATAAATATGTCAGGCAGGAGCGTCTCAGGATCTGTCTGAGATCTGTCTTGGTGAGACAGATAATAGAAATCCAAAGTGCTTTTTATGTGTGATCTGACAACTGATCCATCATTGCTTAAAAGTTAAATACAGCTTAGCCGGTTAATTGCTGTGATCATAAAACACGGAAACGGCAGCACGCAGAACTCACGAGGCAACGTTTTACGTGGTGTTTACTTGCTGCTTTGAGTAATAAGACAGAAAAAGCCACGCCAAAATAAGTTTAGGAAGCCCACTAAGAATCGTAATAAAAGCATTTAAAATAAACACCATACACAGTTGAGGAAACGTTGGTTTAAGTACCTGATATGAAGTGGTCGCTGCATAAGCGAAAACCTTTACTCTCGGGGTCCCACAGCTTCATTTCAGCCCGGTCACTAGCGCGTTTTATTACAATGATCCAACGTTTGCGGCGCTCCGGATCTTGGGGAATCCTGTAGATGGCTCATTCCTTATGTCGTCTGCGTCTGTTCTGCATCCTGGGGCACAACAGGAATCTACCATATTTCCCGTTTGATTGAGTTTTCTGACATTAACAAATAGTCCAGCTGCGGGCTTCTGCATGCCAATATGGCGCCGTTTCGATTTGAACTGTTGTATGCCGGGAGAAGTGACGTCAACTCCCGGAGCTCTATTGGAGAGTGGTCAGAGCACACAGGAGGCAATGTCACAAAGTTCATGACAGGGAGACCAAAAGAGAGAACCAGGTCCAGGGTGTGACCCCTGGCATGAGATGGGGACGATACCCATTGAGTTAGATTGAATGAATCTAGCAAATTCAAAAAGCCTTTAGAAAGCACATTGTCAGGACAGCAGATATGGATGTTAAAATCACCAAAAAATAGGACATAGTCGTATTTTAGGATGCAGTCTGCCACAAGATCATAGTTCATAGAAATCATTTAGGAAGTTAGAGTCAGTTTTTGGAGGGCGATAGATTAGCACGACGAGCAGGCGGGGGGAGACGCACAGTTCAAAGGAAGAAAATGGTGGGTGTAAGCTGTTTACAAGGAAAGCTGGATTTAAAAACAACAACCAGCCCACCACCTCTGCCCCGCGATCTGGGGATATTAAAACAGGAGTAGCTAGGTGGTACCAGCTCCAGCAGGGTGCTTGAGTCACAACTAAATAAACCCACTATATCAGGGAAATATTGTCCTCGGTTTGTGTCCTTCCAGTGAGCTTTGCAGATGTGGGAAAATGCCATCAGGCAGTAATCATTGTTAAATTAATAATTATTCTGGAGAGAGACCAACTCTTATCTGCCCCTGGGAGCCCCGTAATGCATAGCGTCATTTCAGTATGGTATGTTTTGTTGAACCTTTTAATTTAAAAGCAAACTTATTGTTGTATTAACGCTGAATAACCAAATTACACACAAGCAAGTCAATTGTAAATAAAACACAATTCAGTGGTATTCGTTACTTGTCTTTTTATTCCTCAAAATGTGTTTATATTTAGCAATTGTTTAAGTTTTAATATTTTGAATCTTTGAATGATTTCTTTTTTCTGTTTTCTTGTTTACTCTTTATTCTTATTCTAGTCTCTCCTTTTTGCTCCTGTGTCTGCTGTTACACCAAACCTTCCTAACCCAGGAAACTTAGGGTTAGGGTTAGGGCTGCTCGATTATGGCAAAAATAATAATCCCGATTATGGTGACTGAAATTGAGATCACGATTATTTAGGACGATTTTTCAATTTATGTTGATTTTATTTGTTTTTATTCAGTCATAAAATTGCTCAGGGCACAATTAGGACAAAAATAAGAAATATCTTGCAAATACTGACAGCAAGAATTATACAGTGGCATTTATAACAAATAAATGCAAATAAATTGATGTTCACAAAATGTTGCATAACATTTATTTAGTCTGTCAATGTGCTGTAGGACTGTATCCTCAGAGAGATTAGTTATTATTTATCAGCGTGAGGAACTTATTTCTACCTTATTTATAAACTATTTATTTACAAGTCCATCAGTTAATGTAATAATTGTCCCAACCACAGCTGCACCCCCCACCCCCCAACCTGGTCTCACAGCAATCGGGGCAAGCTGCACGTGTGTTTAGCACGCTGCACGCGCACATTTAGCCGTTTTTAGCGGCTCAGGAGCCCGCAGGTGCGGTGTGTGTGTCACTCACTCTGGTTAGTCCAACAGAGCCGACTCTGAGAACCATTTCTTTAGCGACTGACACATCACTACATCATTCCCTTTCCTAATGTCCTGAAGTACGGTCTGGAGAGCAGGCGGAGTGTTTAGCTAACCTGCAGGAAGCGTCAACGACAGTTATCCAGAAAGTAGTTAAGGGTTACCAGAGATGTTTCTGAGGTGTTCGCTAGGTACTTTTAAGATTTAAAAAGTCAAGAAGGGGGACTGAAAAGCTGTTAGAAATAGCGTCAAAGTCGCTAAGTTGGCAACACTGTGGGAGGAGCGCTTCATTTGCAACTCAGGGCAGCGCAAGCGGGAGGAGCAAATAATCGGCTTGTTTTGTTTTTTATAATCGTTCAAAACTCAGATCGTAATCGTGATTAAAATTCGATTAATTGAGCAGCCCTAGTTAGGGTTACCCCAACCAGGGACAATACTCTTCTATTCCTCTCTGTAATTGTTCTTGTTCCTGTTTTAAAGTAGGTATAATCTTTTAACAAGCAAAGAAGTTCTTCTGTTGAATGAACGTTCCTGCTTTAGAGCAGAGAAAGTGTATGAAACCCTAACAATTCAAGCTCAGTTTGCTCCACTCTGATTTACCTTGATGCTCACCTGTTCAGGGGTTAGGGTTAGGATGCCGGTACTAGTAGCGTGGATACTAATGACTATTAACACAAAGGAAGGGGGCGCTTCGACTGATGCGCTAACGGTGCAAAGCGCTATAGGGTTTGTAGCAAAATTAGTCATCAGGCCAGTTTTAATATATATTTGATCTCGTGGGCCAAATATAGACTGCTGCAAAATCTGGCCCAAAGGCCTAAGTTTGACACCTGTGAGCTAGCTCAACTGGTTAGCCACTTGTAGATAAATCTATTTCATAGGCTAGTGAACCTCAACTGGTGGATCGCAGGCCAACTCTGGCCCATCAGACCTGTCCACCTGTCCCCCCAATCCTTTGGGCCCTAATGTCCCCCAATTGGGGGACTTTGGGACATGAATTTTGCTGCTTAACTTCAAACAATGTGTGTACGCTCTCCAAACACAACTAAAACTCCCACCGGGACAGTTTAGATGGAAAACAAAGACGTTTTAAATAGTATTAAATACACTGGTGTCTGCTGAAGAAACGCCAGCCCTTCTTCTGTCGTATACCGTTGGTACCGTGCGTTACTAGCTACATCACCTGTTTTACTTGATGAGTGAAAACAAACTTTTCCACGGGGGTCATTTGTGTTGTTGTTTTGTTAACAGGAAGAACTCTGACGAGGCAGATCTTGTTCCTGCCAAGGAGGCCAACGTCAAGTGTCCTCAGGTGGTGATTTCTTTTTACGAGGAGCGCCTCACATGGCATTCCTACCCCACAGAAGAGGAGGAGAAGAAGGAGGAAGACAAAAAAGACTAGCGTGTGGTGGAAAGTGGACATGCAGGGCAGTAAACCAACTACAAACCACGTTTAATGACACTGACATCAGGTTTAGCTGCAGCAGTGTGAGGAGGCCAGCTGTGTAGCTGACTCACTGAATGTTGGTTTTCCTGCCATGCGTTGTACGTTCCTAAAGGTTCCTACCCGTGTGCTAATTACAGATGTTCATTATGTTCTTCAGGCATCTTGACCACCTGAGTTTAGTTTTCTCCTGTCAAATTATGTGTTTACCCTCATCTTACATGCATTCTCCCTGCCAAACAAGGAGCCTGGTCACTGGTTTAGCCTGAAGAGTGGGCGGGGCTACTGCTGTCTGTGCAGCTAGTCTGTGGGGAATTTCTGCTGAAGAGTAAGATGTATTAATACGAAAGAGAATGAAAACGCTTTCTTTCGTCATTCTAGAGGTTCCTTTATTTTACAACCCCTGCCGCGAGCAATGCCGAGCGTTTTGTTGTGGAGCGGAGCTCGTCAGCTGTTGGACATCCACCTCCCTCCAGCCGGTGGGAGGTGGATGTTTCCACTGAAGACAAGAGTGAACATCAGGGTTTGCTAACATTGCATCATTTTTTATATTGCAGCCATCCGGCACACTCGGTCCCTGGTGTTTTAAGGCCGTGTGGCTTTAGCCTCCATCCCAGGGCAACAGAATGGTGTTTGTTTTCTTGTGGTTTTACCATGTTACACACACACACACACACACACACACACACACGATGGAAGCTTTAAATCCAGTCTAGTGACTTCTATCTTTAGTGATTCCCTGATGGTTCTCTTCCTAATGTTTGCAAATGTTGTGTTAACTGTAGTCCAGCCATGCATTTCTACACACACACACACACGTATATATACTGTAAAACGTAGAGGCAGTAGCCTTTTCTTTTAGCAGACTTGGTTAGATCGGGCGTGGTGAGGGCATTCTGTTTGTTGTTATTGAATTTTCATTTTTGCCTTTACTTGTGAATGCTTTGTAAACTCCTAGCACACGTGCTTCTAGTCGTTTTCTAACAACTCTGTTTGAGATCAGGTCCAGCTGACCAGTCGGGGTGAAATGTGTCCCAGTTTGAGTCGATCCAAACGCCAGTTCATTTCTTTAGCCTATTAGGATTATTAGTGTTTTTCACAGGGACTAATCAGATGCAGATGAGCTAGCTCCAGTCTGGTGTTTTGCTTAGCTTTTTATGTTGTATCCTCTACTTTTAGCTAGTTAGCTTTTATCCGTCTGCTGCATGTTAGTTCATCTACTCTTAGGTGTCTGATCTGAAAAATAAATGTTTTTGGATTCATAGCAAACTGGCCTCTTCACTTCCACGAAGACTAAATGTTTATTCTGTCCTCTCAGCTCATTGGACAGAAACTTGCAGGTGATCCATTATGGTCACTTATCCAGTTAGCTGGTGAGAAATGTTCTTTATGAAAGGGTAAGTGTGTCCTACTGTCTTATTCTGACATTTACAGGTGGGTCATGTAAACATGCTTTGCCACCACCGGTTTTCGGAGCACTAACGGGACACTTTGCTCAGGAATACCAGAGTATTTCTGCAGAGTAACCGCAGAGAAAATGGTTTAAAATTAGCAGGAGCAGGAACTCGACTCCCCTCTGACTCGCTGTTCGCTCACCAGTGGTTAAACCAGCTCTTCTGAGCAATCCAAGAAAACGGAATGGTCCTTGTGGCTTATCGTCCTAAAGCACAGGAATTAATTCATTACAAACCTGATAGAGTTGCAGCAGTGATGTTTCTCGTGTTAGCTTGACAAAACCCAACCCTAGAGTCTACCAGGTTTACCAATCATTCATCACATTTATTTAGAGAACAAAGCGTTTCGTGAGAACCAGCCAGCATACGTGGCACGTAATAAACCAAACAGTTCTGGTAACAAAACCATGAGAAGGAACACTAATGTTGTCTTCATTCGCTCCGTGGTGTTGGCACGTCCCCTCCACATGTATTCACCAGGTAACTGGAGACTGTCAGTAAGCGTGGAACTGGTTGCCCTGGTGATAGACGGGGACACGTCCAGAGTTGGGCTGTTAAGTCCAGTCATTGTGATTGTTAGTGGTGGCAAGCCATCAGACGCGTCCAGTCTCCTCGTGCACCTTTGTGATGCACATGTACACTTAAGACTCACGACGTCTTTCAGCAGCATTTCAGTCGAGTCCAGCACACCACGGGTCTGGTTCCCAGGTCTCTACGTGCACATCCCAACAGATACAACCACAGATGCAGATTTCCTGTATTTACCTGAAAAAAAAAACGACCGCTCTGAGTCGTTTTTAACAGCTGTTTGAAATTGTCCTTCAAAAGTAAAAACACTGAAATGATAATTGACTTTTTTTCTGTTCATCACATGAATTTTTTTATTTGTACCTTTTTTTAAGCATTCATAAAAACTCAAGATTTTACACATTTCTATGGAACTATGAAGACTAGTTTTTGTTCATTTGTCCCAGAGAAGATACGTTGGCCTTAACTTCTCGTCCCTCTGCTTGTTGCTGTTGTCTGAGGCCACAGCCTCTCCACCCTCGGGTACAAAGAGAAGTGTGTTCGCCGCAGCATCCAGCAGCCTTCCTTCTTCATCCCTGAGATTGCAGAAGACTTCCTGGGACAACAGTCCCAGTCTCTGCTTGATTTTGCTCATAAGCCTGATGACTTTCCATCGTTCCCTGAGTAGTTGAGAGTGCCGGCGCCTCAGACTTGACACCTCACTCTCTAATCCCAGCAGCACATCCTGTTTCCTCTTCCTGCAGTTGTGGGCAGCAATCTTGTTTTTACCACGCCGCCGTATGTCCCTAATGAGGGCGAGCTGCTCATCGGCTAGTTGATAATGGATGAGTAAGTCATTAAAGGCCTCCACAGGCAGGTGCACGATGAGCTCGTTGGAAAAGGGGATCTTGAAGGTCCGTGCGCGGCACTCGTCCCGACTGGTCCCAGACACATGTCGGTATGGTGTCCTGCCGTGCTTCAGGGTAGATTTAGTCTGCCTAGGGTTCCTCTGAGAACCTGCAGAGGACAACCCCTGGCTGTAGGTGTGATCATGGACAATATGTTCCATCCAGGAATAACTGTGAAACCGTTCATTTCCAAAGCTGGTCTGGGAAAGATTCCTAACAACTTCCCATCGTCCCACAGCTTCTGCAGCCCTCTCCTCTAGCTTTACAGTCACTCCCCCACCTGGATCTGAGCCTTTGCTTTCATCTTCAGAGAACAAATCGTCCACAGCTGATGCACAACAGGAAAAGTTTGATGATGTAGAAGTGAAAGAATACTGAGCTGAGCTGCCAGAAACACATGAAGAAGCAGGGCTGTGGCTGGAGTCCAAAGAAAGTCCAGAGTCCGAGTCCAGCTCGTCTTCACCATCTATGAAGACAAAAGGTCAAATAAAAGACTGGATTTGTCAGAAAGAGTTGCAGGGGTTCTCCTCATTGACTGACCTGTTTTACCGAGTTCCCTTACATCTGTGTCGTCATGAAGCGGTACATCCTCTTCTAGTCTGGTCATCACCTCGGGGATGAGTCCTTCGTCCAGTGCAACATCCAACAGCCTTATGTCTTCTAACATGTTGGAGTTCTCTAAAAGTTCACTGAGTGGTCTGGTAAGGTCATCTGTGTCCTCCTCACACAGAAAGGTCCTGTCACTCTTTAAAGTTGGGGTCCCAGCTGGTACCTCACATGAATCAGCCTCTGCTCTGTTTATAAAGTCCTGTGTTAATGGACTCAAGTCAGACATGGTAAAGATATCGTCTCCATCCAGCCCCAAGACGACGTTTTCTTCGGGACGTCCAAACAGGATTGCTGAGGGTTGTAGGGAGTCCATGTTAGAGGTTCCCAAAGTGGTCCTTATGTCCTCTGGACTGTGGTCTTCCAGCTCTGCACTGGGAGTCAGGAGTAGTGTGCTTTGTAGTGACTGGTTTTCACTTCCTAAAACACACCAAGGAGATGAACATCTAATCTGGAACCCAGCCGGGATCGTGTCTCCATAGTGCTGTTGGTTGTAAAATCGTTCCGTAGGGGAACAAGTGCATGCTGCCTGAGAGTGCTGCTGATGAGACTGTGTCCCAGCACCTCCAAACATTCCAGGTGTTCCTGAATCAGATATCCTTTCAAATGCTCTTGGTGGTCCCACATCCGTGTTCTGACGAAGACAGATGGAAAAACTACATTTCCATTTTTCTTTAAATGTTTAATCATCTGTTTGTGACTCACTTCAGATTGTAGGAGGTCCAGCAGGTCCTGCCAGCGTAGTTCCAGGTCAGCGGGGGACTCCTGGTCAGAGGTCTGAACGTCCAGACCTTCACTTCCACCACAAACCTCACTCATTTGGAGACGGGAAGAAGAGAAAACGCAGCTTAGACCTCCTAAAACCTGTCGGGTCGTTTTCAGACGGGATAATGCTGCTCATGTTTACATGCTCAGCCTCTGCAGTAAACAAAGCGGGGTTGCAACACGTCGATGCTTAAACTAGCGCCAGCAAGCAGAAGGTCTGGTTTCAAAACAAGCCAGCTGGTCACACGGCCCGGGCAGGCCCGACCAGCACCACTGTCCACCGGCGCTGATAGATATTTAATATTCACAAACATGCTGGGTCTGATGAAGCAACACGGCCTACGGTGTGTGTGTGTGTGTGTGTGTGTGTGTGTGTGTGTGTGTGTGTGTGTGTGTGTGTGTGTGTGTGTGTGTGTGTGTGTGTAACATGATGCTGAGCGTCAGCTGCAGTTCTCAGCCACTGCACAGGGACACTTTTGTCTTTCAGACATTTTTATTCTGGACTCTTGCTGAGATGTCCCCAGACCAACAGCATGCTCTTCTGCTTGCGTTTATTCATTCATCATTCGTGTTTTTTCATCTTTCCTCCAGACTTCCATTTGAGCTTCCTCAGCTGTCAACAGTAACAGTGATTTAGGTTAATGAGCTACCACAACAAAGTCACCACACTATTGAAAGACAGCACCTATTAAGGGACCCAGCAAGTGGAAACAAGAAGAAAATCACAGGAAGTGCTGAAGGACAAACTAATCCACCGCGCATATCCAGGAGAAGCCACCCCATGTATATATGGTCTTCTGGAGATTCACAAGGAAGGAACACCACTCAGACCTCATCAGCAGCATCAACTTGGTCACAACATAGCAAAACATCTCTCGACCACCCTGGCCCCACTGGTGGGAAAGACCCAACATCACATACACAATTTGGTGAATTTTGCAAAGAAAGTTCAAGATCTCAAACTGGCCCAGGAGAAACCATGGGCTCATTTGATGTCACTGCATGGCAGGACAGGATGATTCCTTAAACGAGAGGACAAAACTGACTCCAGACAAGGCCTCATTCATCAAACGTTCATAGAAAAATTCCTTAATTCCTTCTTATGAATGAAATTTATGTTTATGTTCGTACAAACGGTCAAAATCCTGATTTATGAAACATGCGGTGGCCTCTCGTTTCCTCCGCAGTTGTATGATGATGAAGTCCACCTGTGTGTACCCAGGTGCTCGTGTCCGTTCTCAGTAATGTACATAAAGAAATGCCCTCAATTAACCATATTTGGTCACGCTAAATCCTCAGCACATGAGAGGATTCCCTCATTCTACGCAGGAAAAGAAGAAAGATTGCAAGATCTAGACACCTCTAGGCTGCTGAAGCACAAAACCAAACAAGTTGCAGAGGTTATAAACGCAGTTGGGACAGAGAGGTTCCCGTCAGGAATAGATAAAAACTTGAATCTGATAAATTGCAGAGTAACAGGTTGTCATTCACATTTTACATGTAGGAGTTAGTTTTATTTGGATGTCTGAGAGGGCGCAGCCTGTTCTGAGCTGTCATTCAGTCAGGTTACATTGGCAACGCGTGTGTGGTCGCGGAGCCGCAGAGGTTCTAGGGCCTCTCGTGTAAAATACAAAATGAGCTGGAATCAGATTTGTGCGGTTTATCTGTCACTCACAAAGGGTCTCAAATCACAGCACAGCTCCAGAAGGATCTCCAGGCCGCGCGCTCACGGAAACGCGTCCACTCCGAAGAGCGCGCTCTGACTAATCCTTAATAATAATAAATTATCTTTTATCTAGCGCATCTCAAGCAAACTCAGGAGGCGTTTCACAGAGACAAAATTATAATACAATAAAATGAAACCAAAAATATTAACTATTAAAACAATTAACACTATCATAAAAATGGGAAGAGTGATTACAAAAAAACACAAAATCCACTAAATGTCAGATTCACATCAGGTGTTTTGTCACTAATTATGTGACTCAGCTGTTTTTCCTCCATAATAATTAGTGGATGAGGAACATGTGTGGATGAGACCTTCAGTGTTGCGGTTCCTCGTTCTACCACTAGATGCTGTTCCCACATGGTCTGAAGTTTTCTTGTGTTTAGGAACATTTCCACACACCGGTACAAAACGATGAATACCACACGATGTGTCATTTAGTTCCTACACACGATATATGCACAGATCTGTGCGTAAGTTACGGTTGATAAATGAGGCCCCAGATCTGGACCTCTGCTTTTCTATCACCTATTTCAATCACAACGACATGTTTGTGAAATGATTAGATAACTAATTACACACTAATGATTACCTAAGCTTCACACAACAAAAACTTACCTAAAAAGTAACTAATGCTGAACGAATCAGGATCAAATGATTAACTAATGATTACCCAAGCTTCACAACCACCCCAAGGTGGATTGATTAGCTTAACAATTTCTTAATGCTTACTTAATGGTTGGTAATTCATAAAATGAATGATATACCTAATCACCCATTAATGATTCTATAAGGATGACACAAGCTTACACCCAGCCCCAAACCTATCCCAGAATGATTAATTAATGTTTGGTCAGTCATTATTACTGAATCAGGAACTAATGACTCATCAATTATTGGTTACTTTTTGCTTATAAACCGTATAACTGAGTCTTTACAATTGCAATCATTCTGTTTCTGTGCATTTTCTGACATGTTTGGAAACTAGAATCTAGGTCTGAAAACGTCTCAGTGCTGCCCCCTATGGCAGAACTGTGGCTACTGCATTTTAAACTTGTGATTTGCTGGGGCTGGTACAATTTCAGTCATGGGTACAGGCTCCTCCCACTCCCCCTCCCTCCAAGTCCCAGGAAGGAAATTCCCCACAATTGGCCATGCCACTCTGTGTCTCCTGGCAACGCCCACTTTCATGGCATTATTCAAATCTTGACTAGGGGTGGAGTTAGGTTTTCTGATTGTGTGCAGTCCCTCTTTAAGTAAGTTGCATTGTTAAATAAATGTCGGCATTTACAGTGTTTAAAGCAGAAGAAAAGTCTATAAAAAATCCACCAATCACTCCATGCAGCAGCGTGCACAGCACTCACGTGATGAACATGAAGGCCGTGTCATATAACCTCTTGGTCAAAAACGTTAGTGGGGCTGCATAAGAACCTTGAGCGGGTACCCAGCTTCTCCTGTTTCCTGCCTGAGAATAGCAGACGGCTGGCTATTCCCGTTTCCCGGGACACCTGGGCCGGCTCTGAAGCGAAGCTGTAGTCCTGCTGGTCAATGGTGGATCTGTGAGGGAGATCCATCGACATAAATATACTAGACATCTCCTTTCCATAGGCTCCAATATCACGTTTTTGAGGCCAAATGGGAGGTGGCCACCACCGCCATTTTGACCGTGTCACAGGTTCCGTCAAGCCCAGACAATTCCACAAAAGGGAGGACTGGGCTCAAGATGGCGACCAGTGCGGAGGTGTTGTGAGGAGCTCCGTGACTGTGAGTTGTACCACGTTAACAAAGGCAAATAAACCATATATTACCGGCATTGTTGTTCAAGGAATCGTTTATGCATAAGATAAGAGGAAGAAGAACTTGTTACTGAAAGGATACTCACCTCCACGTCGACTGTTTCTAGCTGGCTAGCTTACAGTCATCTCAGCTCAATCTTTTGAAATGGCAAAAAGAGGACCGAAAAATTCCAAAGAGGAAGCCTCTTTACTGCAACGAGGTATGCAGGACTTTGATGCTGCTTTCACTCCACTACCTGTTACACCCACAAAGAGCCCTGATACAAAAAAAGCAAAATCAGCTAACATCTCACCTGAAGGAACATCTAACGATGACATCTTGAAAGCCGTAATGGAACTCTCTGGCCGCTTTGCAGCGCTAGAGCAAAAAATAACTAAAAATACAGAAGTTATCGCTAATGTCTGTGATCAGCTAAAAGCAGTTGAAATGCATGTACAGAAGAACGAAAACATGATTAAAGATGTATCGGAGCAGTTGGTTAAGGAGCAGCAAAGAAGTGATGATGCCGAACGATACAGCAGACGATGGAACCTGCGGCTGTATGGCAAGAAAGAAACACCGGGGGAAAACATCAGAGAGGAGATAATGAAGCTCTTCGTTGCGCTTGCACCAGAGGATAAAGAAAAGTTGGATTTCCTTGTTGATACTGTGCACAGGGTTGGTGTAGTCCTGGACAATTCCACTCGACCTGTCATTATTCAGTTCACTATGCGAGCTTTCAGAAACAAGATCTGGAAGGTATCCCGTGACAACAACACACTTAAAGAGAAGAAACTGTTCCTGAAGGAAGATCTGACACAGGCTGACCGGATGGAGCGAAATCGGTTGTGGCCGATAGTGGAGGAAGCTAGGAAGCAAGGAAAGCGTGCTGGCTTTAGAGGCCCTCATGCTTACATAGAAGGGAAAAAAGTTACTCGCTAGATGTTGATTTAAAGCTGTGTGACGATGGATGCTGGTAAAATTATTTTCAGTTAATACTTGAAAAAGGTTTAAAAAATGTGCATAAAGCAAATGGGTACTTGCAGTTAAGGTTAAAGGTTCGTAAGTACTATTCTTTTATTATTTTTCTTTTTTCTTCATCTTTTTTCTTCTCGGTGATTGTTATTGACATCAGCAATTTGTTCAAATATGGCAGGTTTTAGTTTTAAGGCACTAAATGTTTGTTCACTTAATGTTAGGGGTCTACGGGAAATCACAAAAAGAAAGGCAATTTTCATATTTTGTAGGAACTGCAATGCAGACTTCGTTTTTCTGCAGGAGACTCATTCATGCAAGGATGATGAAAAGTTTTGGAAGTCACAATGGGGGGATTCCATATTTTTTTCTCATGGCTCAAATCACTCTGCTGGCACGGCAATTCTGTTAAATAGATTTTGTGGTGACATACTGCAGTCTGTAATGTCAAATGAAGGTCGCTGGCTTATGTTGGCTGTGAAATTGGATAACCAACATTTTATTATTGGAAATGTTTATGGCCCAAATAATTCATCTCATGCAAGAACTGTTTTTCAGGAATTTTCTTTAAAGTTGGATTTTTTGAAAGCAAAATACAATAACCCCATTTTAATTATTGGAGGTGACTTTAATGATGTTTCAGATGACACTGTGGACCGGCTTCCTCCAAGGTTTACATCAATAAGTTTCAAACCTACTGAATTTTTGAGCGCAAATTACCAGCTTACAGATGTGTGGAGATATATGAACCCTGACGCTACACAATATACGTGGTCCAATTCTAGCAGGAGTTCCCAGTCACGAATAGATTTATGGTTAATGTCTACACATGGATTACAATATGTCACAGACGTTTCTCACTCACATGCC